ATTACATCATCGTTAACAAAATCATCACACAAATACAACCATTCATACAATAACTATACCCATCAGTCAACCAACAATAAACACCAATGTCATTGTCTCTCGTAGGCGGCATTCCACAACGAATGACACCGTCGCACCACAACATCAATATCAGCCACGATCACACACCCTATCATTATTATAGGGCGCAACTAGTAGATCAAAAGGCTAAACAAATCTACACACATCACATTCCCAGTCACTCACTCACTCACTCACCCACCCACCCACTCACTCAATCACTCACACAAAAGAACAACATCTTCATTGACCACTATTAACAACACAACAATTACAACAACACACCCATAACTAATAGTACTTCTACCACTACCACTACCATTACTACGACTACAAATAAATAAACAAATACAAATATTACAAAACTTCACTAAAACTACTACATCCCACTATCAATCAACACATGGAACAAAAGCAAAATACACATCACATCAATTCACTCGATCATTACATCATCGATAACATAATCATCACACAAATACAACCATTCATACAATAACTATACCCATCAGTCAACCAACAATAAACACCAATGTCATTGTCTCTCGTAGGCGGCATTCCACAACGAATGACACCGTCGCACCACAACATCAATATCAGCCACGATCACACACCCTATCATTATTATAGGGCGCAACTAGTAGATCAAAAGGCTAAACAAATCTACACACATCACATTCCCAGTCACTCACTCACTCACTCACCCACCCACTCACTCAATCACTCACACAAAAGAACAACATCTTCATTGACCACTATTAACAACACAACAATTACAACAACACACCCATAACTAATAGTACTTCTACCACTACCACCACTACGACTACAAATAAATAAACAAATACAAATATTACAAAACTTCACTAAAACTACTACATCCCACTATCAATCAACACATGGAACAAAAGCAAAATACACATCACATCAATTCACTCGATCATTACATCATCGTTAACAAAATCATCACACAAATACAACCATTCATACAATAACTATACCCATCAGTCAACCAACAATAAACACCAATGTCATTGTCTCTCGTAGGCGGCATTCCACAACGAATGACACCGTCGCACCACAACATCAATATCAGCCACGATCACACACCCTATCATTATTATAGGGCGCAACTAGTAGATCAAAAGGCTAAACAAATCTACACACATCACATTCCCAGTCACTCACTCACTCACCGACCCACCCACCCACTCACTCAATCACTCACACAAAAGAACAACATCTTCATTGACCACTATTAACAACACAACAATTACAACAACACACCCATAACTAATAGTACTTCTACCACTACCACCACTACGACTACAAATAAATAAACAAATACAAATATTACAAAACTTCACTAAAACTACTACATCCCACTATCAATCAACACATGGAACAAAAGCAAAATACACATCACATCAATTCACTCGATCATTACATCATCGTTAACAAAATCATCACACAAATACAACCATTCATACAATAACTATACCCATCAGTCAACCAACAATAAACACCAATGTCATTGTCTCTCGTAGGCGGCATTCCACAACGAATGACACCGTCGCACCACAACATCAATATCAGCCACGATCACACACCCTATCATTATTATAGGGCGCAACTAGTAGATCAAAAGGCTAAACAAATCTACACACATCACATTCCCAGTCACTCACTCACCCACCCACTCACTCACTTACTCAATCACTTACACAAAAGAACATCCTCTTCATTAACCAATAATATCAACACAACAATTACAACAACACACCCATAACTAATAGTACTTCTACCACTACCATTACTACGACTACAAATAAATAAATAAATACAAATATTACAAAACTTCACTAAAACTACTACATCCCACTATCAATCAACACATGGAACAAAAGCAAAATACACATCACATCAATTCACTCGATCATTACATCATCGTTAACAAAATCATCACACAAATACAACCATTCATACAATAACTATACCCATCAGTCAACCAACAATAAACACCAATGTCATTGTCTCTCGTAGGCGGCATTCCACAACGAATGACACCGTCGCACCACAACATCAATATCAGCCACGATCACACACCCTATCATTATTATAGGGCGCAACTAGTAGATCAAAAGGCTAAACAAATCTACACACATCACATTCCCAGTCACTCACTCACTCACTCACCCACCCACTCACTCACTTACTCAATCACTTACACAAAAGAACATCCTCTTCATTAACCAATAATATCAACACACAACTAACACTACTGCTACTTCTAGCACTACCATTACTACTACTACAAATAAATAAATAAATACAAATATTACAAAACTTCACTAAAACTACTACATCCCACTATCAATCAACACATGGAACAAAAGCAAAATACACATCACATCAATTCACTCGATCATTACATCATCGTTAACAAAATCATCACACAAATACAACCATTCATACAATAACTATACCCATCAGTCAACCAACAATAAACACCAATGTCATTGTCTCTCGTAGGCGGCATTCCACAACGAATGACACCGTCGCACCACAACATCAATATCAGCCACGATCACACACCCTATCATTATTATAGGGCGCAACTAGTAGATCAAAAGGCTAAACAAATCTACACACATCACATTCCCAGTCACTCACTCACTCACTCACCCACCCACTCACTCAATCACTCACACAAAAGAACAACATCTTCATTGACCACTATTAACAACACAACAATTACAACAACACACCCATAACTAATAGTACTTCTACCACTACCACTACCATTACTACGACTACAAATAAATAAACAAATACAAATATTACAAAACTTCACTAAAACTACTACATCCCACTATCAATCAACACATGGAACAAAAGCAAAATACACATCACATCAATTCACTCGATCATTACATCATCGATAACATAATCATCACACAAATACAACCATTCATACAATAACTATACCCATCAGTCAACCAACAATAAACACCAATGTCATTGTCTCTCGTAGGCGGCATTCCACAACGAATGACACCGTCGCACCACAACATCAATATCAGCCACGATCACACACCCTATCATTATTATAGGGCGCAACTAGTAGATCAAAAGGCTAAACAAATCTACACACATCACATTCCCAGTCACTCACTCACTCACTCACTCTCCAACACACTCACTCACCCACCCACTCACTCAATCACTCACACAAAAGAACAACATCTTCATTGACCACTATTAACAACACAACAATTACAACAACACACCCATAACTAATAGTACTTCTACCACTACCACTACCATTACTACGACTACAAATAAATAAACAAATACAAATATTACAAAACTTCACTAAAACTACTACATCCCACTATCAATCAACACATGGAACAAAAGCAAAATACACATCACATCAATTCACTCGATCATTACATCATCGTTAACAAAATCATCACACAAATACAACCATTCATACAATAACTATACCCATCAGTCAACCAACAATAAACACCAATGTCATTGTCTCTCGTAGGCGGCATTCCACAACGAATGACACCGTCGCACCACAACATCAATATCAGCCACGATCACACACCCTATCATTATTATAGGGCGCAACTAGTAGATCAAAAGGCTAAACAAATCTACACACATCACATTCCCAGTCACTCACTCACCCACCCACCCACTCACTCAATCACTCACACAAAAGAACAACATCTTCATTGACCACTATTAACAACACAACAATTACAACGACACATAACTAACACTACTGCTACTACTACTTCTACCACTACCACTACCACTACCATTACTACGACTACAAATAAATAAATAAATACAAATATTACAAAACTTCACTAAAACTACTACATCCCACTATCAATCAACACATGGAACAAAAGCAAAATACACATCACATCAATTCACTCGATCATTACATCATCGTTAACAAAATCATCACACAAATACAACCATTCATACAATAACTATACCCATCAGTCAACCAACAATAAACACCAATGTCATTGTCTCTCGTAGGCGGCATTCCACAACGAATGACACCGTCGCACCACAACATCAATATCAGCCACGATCACACACCCTATCATTATTATAGGGCGCAACTTTTAGATCTACTCTCTATACCATCTTCATCCATTCTCTTCACATATAAAGTAGTCCTTTGTTAAGTATCTTGCCACAATTTAGTGTAATATAATAACGAATTTTTTTTCGATAAGGGGGATATTCTTATGTGTTATAATAGCCGTGTTATACCTCTAACTCTCAAACGATCTCTACACGTTTCTTTACCTAATATTGATTTTGTGTGCCTTTCTATTTGCTTATCTATAAATCTTTTCATTTATTGATTATTTCTATTTTACACTATTCATTTAACACTCTTCTCGTTATGTTTTATATCTTAAATGGATTATTTCTTCTGATGTCATTGGAAATTCTTTAGGTTGGTTGTTTCGCCGTTTGAGTATCACTAATTGCGATTCATTGAACGATTACTCTGATTTTGCAGATTGCACTATCATTGGAACTATTTGGCACTTTGTTTTTTTTATACTAAGCATCTACACGTTCAAAATCAAGTTTATAAACCTGAAAATTTCTTCGATACTATGCAATGATCATGTTTTTATTTTGAGATGATGGAGAAGATTTGTAGCCTAGGCGATTGATTTCAATGGAATTTTGTTCTCTGTGGGAGAGAACAAATCAGGAAGAAGAGCTGGAAGTGGATAGGACACACATTGAGGAAAGCACCCAACTGCGTCACAAGGCAAGCTTCCACATTGTAACTTAAAGGCCAAAGGAAAAGAGGAAGACCAAAGAACACATTACGTCGAGAAATAGAGATAGACATCAGAAGAATGAACAACAATAGGATATAACTAGAAAGGAAGGCGCTGAACAGAGTGGGTTGGAGAATACTGGTCGTCAGTCTATGTTCCATTAGAAGTAAAAGGCGTAAGCAAGTAAGTAAAGTTTGTTCTCTGAGTTGGATGGTTTGTCCATGGAGCTTTTATCGGTTTTCTAAACGACATCATCAGCAAAAATGTCTACCTGAAGAATGATGAAAGCTTCACAATCAAACCATTCAGCTCAAAGAACAAAACTCTATCAAAATCATGTTTCTATTTGTATAATAACATAATCAGAATTAATTCAATAATAAAAACAAATGAAACTCTTAAATCGAAATTTATTGGAGTATAGAATAACGAAATAAATGATGTCAAATTAATAACAATAATAATAAAGTAATTTGAAATGAATCTTCAGTTTGTAAACCATAGATTAACAGTCTACCACTTACCTAACCTTTATACAAATAGTTTATTAGAATATTTTCCTTTTTATTAAATAGTGATTATTTATATCATCAAAAATTACACAAAAATTGAATTAAAATTTATAACACCATGGTAACTGAAATCTTCTTAACAGATAATTTATAAAAAAAAAACATAAACAAGTGAACGAAAAAAAAGAAATTTTGATAAAACACTATACCCCTTTACAAATAGAAAATATTGAAATGCATTAATGTTTTAGTGGGTTTTTTTTCTTTTTTTTTGGTTCCCAACACAAACTATACAATATAGGAAGAATTTTGTTTCTCAAAGTATTTCTTTAAAAAAAGAAAATAAATTTACAAAATAAGTAATTTTACGAGAGGGAGGGAGAGAGACAGAGGGGGGAGGAAAGAAAGAGAGAGAGAGAGGGAGAAAGAGAGAAGAACAAGTTAAAAAGTTTATTGATTTATTATACTATTGATCATAAAGATAAAGTTACATTTGATGTTGGTCCTGTAGAAGATGAACTTGAAGTATTTGATGATCTGATTAAAACTGATTGAGTAGTAAATTGTTCAGATCTTAATGATTCAAATAAAGGTTTTCTTTTTAAGCTAACTGAAACACAATCGGATGAATCGATCATAATAGCTCTATTATTATTATTATTATTATTATTATTATTAGTAGTAGTAGTAGTAGTAGTAGTAGTAGTAGTAGTAATATTAGCAATGTTGATGGGAGTATTGATAACAGGATTATCATTCTTATGAGTAGAGGATTTTATACTGATAATATTTGTTTCAGCAGGAGACATAACTGGAATCCTTTGAACTGTATATAAAGTATCATTTAAAATCTAAAATGTGTACAAAATATGCATTTTGAGTGTAAATGATATTGTCAAAATACAATGGATAGATTATGTAATGAATATCCCTAAGCTAACAAACAATACAATAGAGAAATATTTATTATTATTATTATTATTACTATATTGGTAAACAAAACAAATACCCGAATAGAATTGAAAACCAATTAAGTTAATGATTGATTTTATAAGTTGAAAAAACAATACATTTAACCTAAATAGTTAATTTTTTAAAGAAAATACTACTAATGAATGTGTTTGTTATATTAGAAAATGTTTAGATAAATCAAATGTGCAAACTTTCTTTTGAGATCATAATGACAAGACTTTCAATGATCTCAACTATTGAAATTACTAAAAATTTTCACAAAACCTCTTCTGATAATAATCAACATATGTTCACTAGTGACTGACTTCAATAGGCATTTCCTGGAATTCTAGTGAGAAACAGTGACCGGTAAAGCTCAATTGGGTGTGATGTCAGATATCAGCTCACTGAAGACATTGGTGTACGGTGGCGCAATTTCGTGGATTAGTTGAAGTTAGATATTAACACTGTTGGATTCCGGCCAGCTCAGTAGTGTGGAGGTAAAGCGTTCGCACGCGAGACTGATAGGTCCTGAGTTCGAATCTCGCGAGGGGGGGTGAGGTCGTGGATGCGCACTGCTGATTAGTCCCATACTAGGACGAAATGGCTGTCCAGTGCTTCCAGGTTTTAAATAGTGGTCTAGCTTCAATTGACTAATGATCTCCGCAAAACCCCTTCTGATACTAATCAAAAATGTATTACACATATTAACATCATTATAAATATTTATTTAGAAAAAAAATAGTTTAGTAAGGGAATAACAATTGGCATTTTAGATAATACATTTACCTTCCCATCATATCGTTTATTATTACACCAATCAATAAAAGTTAACTGACAATGTTCCCCAACACATTTGGTTGAACAATACTGACCATTCCAACGAGGGTCATAGGAAACTGGATTTTTACACGTGGGATTACAGCATTGTTTATTGTCTTCGCTTAACTAAATGAAATTTTTTTCAAAAAACAAAGCAAATATACTTTTAAACGGAAAGTACAAAATTACACACGAAAACAGTACTACTAACAGAAAGGTGTCAAGTCATGATTAGTAAAACCATATCTCAGAGACGAAGGAGAACGAGAGAGATCAATATAACTTAATTAAAACCGGTAATAATATTGGTCAATTCTATTGACTTCTGACTTTCGAGTAACTTTCCAAGTGATAATATCCTCATTTGTGCTAGAACGTGTTTTCCATACATAGAACAAGCAAACAATGATAAAGAAGATTAGGTAACCATTTTTTAAAAAATCACTATGATACTCACTAAACCCTAAGGTTCATTACAAATTTAGAACACTAACCATTTGACTAGTATTTTAATTGAATATCTTCGCTCATGTTAGTGTCACAAGATATGTTAATATTACTTATTACCCAGGTCCTCGGTTCGAGTCCCGTGTGCGGGATCGTGAATGCGCGCTGATCGCGAGACCCATACTAGAACAAAACGGCCGTCCAGTGCTTACAGGTTTCCAATAACGGTCTAACATTGATCCATTCATGCTCTCAATCAAAACTCAACAATCTCCACAAACCTATAACTGACAATCAGAGTTGTTTGATTATTCATCAGCATAATTTTGGTTACAGAAAAGAATTCTCTCCGCATAAATCCTGCAATATTACAATAAATTTCACCTGGTACGGCCAAAGGTGGGCAGAGTTAGCCAGCGTATACAGCCACTGCCAGGGAAGTCCTACTCACTGCCTTCTAAAGGCATTACTGTTGTTTACGAAATTGAGAAAATGAAAAGTGAATGTTCGGCGCTTTAACCGGGTTGCTAGACACGGGAAGTCCACCTAGGGGAGTTGGAAAACCCTCTTTCCAAACCAATGGTGTACATGGGTTTCAGGATTCTGAAGGAATAAATGACGTATAAACCAATTATTTGTCACCGGCTACCATGGGACTGCATCTCCTGACGTTGCTCCACTGCCTTGTGGATCAGACCTTTAGGTTGAAGGCTCGGAGTTTGGCCCCCTAAGGGAACCACTTACTTCGGTCTGGGCACCCAGGAATTATGACAGCCCACACACAAATCAAGTGAATTTGGTGCACCTTTGTACCAATATTTATTTGTTCAAATAAATAAACATTTTAATTGTTACTAATCAAGTGTATTTTATAAATGGTTTTTCAACAGTCGGTATCTGATAACTTATCTTCAGCCGTGGAAGATTTTAACATTTCACTTGCTACAACCAATCTTTTCATCTACTATACATTGAATCAGTGTATTCAACTGTTAATCACTTGCATTTCCCAGTTTCATTTTATATAGGACATAAAATAGCTCAAGAGTAAAAATGTGTCACACAAATGAAGGAATAATGTTATGATGAAATAAAAAAGAAAAGGATAGTATAATCAAAACATTAATGAAAAAGTAGGTATGTTCAAAGAAATATTTCAGTCAAAAATACAACCAAGAAATACTTCATTCGGTTAAGGACATCCAATAAAACTTCTATGATGAATTTGATGGAAGCTACAGCAGGACTACTATAGCTTCCTCTTCTGAAACATGCTTGACAACAGCTGAAGCTATTGAGTTGAACCATTTCTAGGACCTCAATCAGTGGCTCGTGATACACTCATAGATGTCAATCTTATAAAGTTACCATTCATATCACAGAACCAAGTAATTAACTAACTACCTCTTCATTTTTTCATTTCATCCTCCGTAAATAATGCCTTAGGTGGGTATCTCTATGATTAAATTCATAAAACATGATCAGGTCACTGAAGTTAATATTTCAAGATGGTGACACCCATTGAATTGTTATCGATACTTGGTCTGCTTCTCACGAGCCGGACAAGGATTTTGTACAATCTGAGGAGTATGACAAAAGACAATAGTTTGAGCAGAAACATTTTACCTCGATAATAATCACACTACTTAAGTAGGCCCTTTCAAAAAGTGAGATAAACGATCATTTCAATTCAAGATGACAGAGTACTCTTCGTTCCCTGATTAGAATTTCTCCACGTTATTAAAGAGGCCAAGGAGCAGGTCTTTTAAGTTAAAAAAACTTGTGACGCCTCATAAGTTGGAGTTCGTTAAGAACCCTTGCTTTGTCAAGCAGATTGGAAGTAACCGACCAACGAGCGCAGGATAGTGGAATCAGATTGGCTGGAGTAATGATAAAGTTCTCGCTTTGGTTTCCAGATCATATGCAGGTTACTAATTGACGTGATATCAACTGTACAGATTATTTCATTGACAAAAGACTTCTTACGTTTAGTATCTCCGATAGGTTGAAACAGCTTCCAGCAGTTACCAAATGCAACTACTCCTTGCAATTCGTTAGCATTCAGCCACCTCTAGATCTGTCTTTAAGCAAACTTTGTGGAGTTTTCTAACGTAGGAATTTACGAGTATCATCAAATTGCGAATCGCCAAAGAATGGGGTCCCTAAAGTAGCTGTAGACAACCTGCAAAAGACCCGATGACTAAAAGAAAGACGTATCGCAGAGCCTTAAGAGATTTCATTCGTCATTTTTATGGCATCATGCAAACCCAGCCGATGGTCGTCTATACTTTTCGGTGGACTGATAACTAACTCTAACCTTATGTTGATTTGACATTTGGTCCCTAATGATGGTGTAGCCCTTTTGATCACATAAATTCGTTACAGATGATGAGTTTGATACGCACTAAAACACAAGATACATGATGATCAGAATCCAAATAAGTATACTGAAAAAAGTGGTAGTTTTGTACACACCCACACTTGTAGTAACTGATCGCAATGTGATAAATCTAGTTTAGGGTTTGAGATGCAGAAGGTGACAGTGGTTAGTCATGAATCGATATAGATAGTGGTCTGCACAGAGCTGTAAAACGCCCTCACCATCATCTAACCATCGAATTTTCGAGAGTTTAGTATCGCGATAGTTTCTAAGCTTTTCTTCAAAAAAAGTGTGCGTATATGTATGGTTAGTATTGGCAATTATTTAGTGGAAACAAATTTAAAACGGGAAAATTTACTGAAATATTTGCATAGTTGGAAAATAAATGGGCAGGATATTCATTTAGTGATATTACTGGTTCTAATAAACATAAACCTATGGAAGAAAACAATTTAAATAACCGACATCTATAAATATAAAATATATTTATTTATTGACTCGTATAGGTAATATGTAACATATACATAAGTATTAAACATAGATGACTTACTAAACTGAGCAGTTTTGATCTACATTTTGATAAAGAGGTCATCTTTTGTGACTCCATTGATACTACAGGATGTTTTTTGTACTCCTGAAATTATAGAACAAATAAAACGATAATATATTTCTGTCATTGAATAAATTAGAAATTAAGTAACTGTTTAATCTCTTAGAGAAAACCAATAGATAACCTAAATCAATATATATATATATATATATATATATATATATATATATATATATATATATACGTATGTACATACGGTTTCTAGTACTAATTAAAAAGGATTACAATGGCTGAGATCATTAGTCAATTGAAGCTGGACCACCATTTAAAACCTGGAAGCACTGGACAGCCATTTCGTCCTAGTATGGGACTAATCAGCAGTGCGCATCCACGACCTCACCCCCCCTCGCGAGATTCGAACTCAGGACCTATCAGTCTCGCGTGCGAACGCTTTACCTCCACACTACTGAGCTGACCGCAATCCAACAGTGTTAATATCTAACTTCAACCAATCCACGAAATCGCGCCACCGTACACCAATGTCTTCAGTGAGCTGATATCTGACATCACACCCAATTGAGCTTTACTGGTCACTGTTTCTCACTAGAATTCCAGGAAATGCCTCACTAGTGAACATATGTTGATTATTATCAGAAGAGGTTTTGTGAATATTTTTAGTAATTTCAATAGTTGAAATGGTTGAAATTTAATAGTTAAGCACTCAATAATTCACTGTACTCTAATTAGCAGTATCATTACGTTATACATTAACAGAGCACAAGTTATAATATAAACTTTCAATGAACTACAATAAAATCAAAATATCATGTTTCTTTGTTTAAGCCAGAAAAACAAAAACAGATGACAATAAAAGAAGTTATAAAAGAAATATTTTCTTATACAGTAACAATTTGTATCACTTACTTTTTTCTCGATTTTTGATAATTGATTCCAGCGTTTATCAACTAATTGACATATATCATAGAAACTAGCATTAGGTTGTTCATATTTAATAGAGGATTGAATTTCTTGAAAAAATTGTGAATAACCTATATTTCTATAATAGAATTTGTGTACATAGTTGAAAACATGAAAAAGATAAATGATAAGAAAATGATTATATATATATATATATATATATGTATATACATGAATATATTGATTGCCCCCAAATGCCCTGGTACGGCCGAGAGTAGGATGAGTCCGCTCTCCCTCTCGAAATGCTCTCACATGGCCATGAGTATATAGTCTCTGCCAGGGAAGTCCTACTCACTGCCTTCTCGTGGCGGGGGTGTTGTTTACGAAAATGAGAGGACGAAAAGCGAATTTCCGGCGCTTTAACCGGATCCCAAACCAATGGTGCACATGGGCTGGATCCAGTATCCTGAAGGAACAAATGGCGTATGAACCAATCGTTGGTCACCGGCTACCATGGGACTGCATCTCCTTACGATGCTCCACTGCCTTGTGGATCAGACGTCCAGGTCAAAGGCTCGGGGTGTGGTCCCCTAAGAAAACCACCTGCTTCGGTTTGGGCATCCGGGCAGTATCACAGCCCTCACACAAATCAATTGAGATTCGTGTGGCGCATATGTATTTGGTGCCTCCTTGTACCAATACCTATGTGTTAAAATAAATAAATAAATAAATAAGAATATATTGATTGACATATTAACAGGGGAAACTATTGGCCGACTAGTAATGAATAACAGATACGTTAAATGTTTTTAGAAAAAAAAATTATTATTTACTCCAAACGATCTTCTTGATCAATTTGATCTTTAATTGATCAATTAGAAGCAGCTAAGTTATCTGAAACAATTAGTTTTATTTTAAAACAGACAGTATATGTACAATTAGAAATGAATAATCTGTCGAACATCTTGAAAAATAAAGGATGTAACCAAAGGATACGATGTTCAAATAATTTGACATCTTCGTCTTCATTGATTTGACAATGAGTGAACACGATAGAAAAGCCGCTAAGTGTGAAAAGGTTAATTTATGTATAGAAACACAAGGATATTTATAGTATTTCATATGACCTTAACGTCCCAGAAGCATACTAAACATAGTAGCAGGATAAGCAATCATCTAATCACAAATGTGACACATCAGTCTTCACTTTCTAAGTGTCTCTGAGAAACTTCTAATCAATGTTGATTGGGTAAAATGTTTCCTAGTATTTTCAAGGCCCCTCTGGAATTTTTCAAGAAATATCTAAGATCTACGCAACACTGAAAAGCTCATTTCCCAAAAAAAAAATCCATGTTCAACATTTTAGCATAATTCGATTATCGTTCACTTACTTACACCTGTTATTCCTCGTGGAGGAGCACAGGTAGCCCACCAGCACATAGTTATTTCATAACCACTATCTGTATCCAATAATTTTGACATTTGACTAGTTCCATGAAGAGATCAATTACCAGATTGCCGAGTGAAACGTTGAAGTTATTGTTAATTCTAATTGCTGAGATTTTTACAAATATAATTTTCTTTCTAATTCCTTACTAAAGCTCATATAACGCACAAAGTGGATTATCAATTCATGGAAAATTTATCTTTTCTTCCTCTTCTCAACTTTTATAATTCATCTCGCCTTTTATTAATGGTTTATCAAATCATCATCAGACAAGTAACAATTTTTACAAGTTTACTCATTTTTTTTAGTTTTGGTTAGTCAATATCAGTGGTACCCCTTTTTTGATCGATATCTGCAAACTGACTCGATAAAGTATGTGTAGTCATGAATTTTTTTTTTAATTAGTTCATTGTAACTATGAGGTTGAAATGTCGGTAATGAAGAGAGGCCACTACACACACATACTTCATTTAACCAAATAATAATTCAGTTGTAAACAAGAACCAGTGAAAGTACCTCATTAAAAACACGGCTTTTAACAAATTAAACTGTAAGAACAATGAAACTCAATTTAAAAACAATTTCAAAAATAGAATTAATAGAAAAAATGCCCTGGTACGGTCGAGAGTGGGGAGAAACAGCTCTCCCTCTCGAAATGCTCATACCAGGCCACTTGCACACAACCACTGTCAGGGGAGTCCTACTCACTACCTTCTTGCAGCGTTACTGTTTACGAAATTGAGAAAATTAAAAGTGAATGTTCGGCACTTTAACCGGGTTAGTGGGTATGAAGAGTCTACCTAAGGGAGTTGGAAGACCCTCATTTCAAACCAATAGTGTACATGGGTTTCAGTATCCTAAAGGAACGAATGCCATATGAACCAATCGTTTGTCACTGGCTATCATGGGACTGCATCTCCTGACATTGCCCCACTGCCTTGTGGATCAGATCTTCAGGTCAAAGGCTCTGGTAGTGGCCCCCTAAGAAAACCACCTGCTTCGGTTTGGGCACGCAAGCAGTATTACAGCCCTTACACAAATAAAATGAGATTTGTGTGGCGCATATGTATTTGGTGCCTCCTTGTACGAATATTTATGTGTTCAAATAAATAATAAATAAATAATCTTGAGCAGTTTGACACAAAATTAAGCACACAGACAAGTATTTGGTCTACATTAAATGTACTAAAATTACACAACTCAGTAAATAGCAGGATTATTCAACAAGGGAAAGTAAAGAGTATTCTCGTATAAAAGACTTACATTATTCTATCTGATTTGCCTTTTTGACAGTTTTTATCGCTATACATAAGTGTAAATTGTTTGGACCTAAGGAGCTGCAAAATAAATTTTAAAAAAAAACTTAGAAGCAAAACGAACCAATTTATGATTTTTTTTTTACGCATCTGATCTGATCAACTTTACTTGGTGGCCGTTTGTACATGGTTTTGCACTAAATAGAAGTAAACAGTGACGAACTCAAGTGTCAAATGTGATATTTACAGATAGATGTGATGTTGTTGATACTATTATTGGGAGTTTTATTACTTCAAGAGAATAAAATTAACTGAATAAACGAAACATCGTATTGTACAATGTAAAACAAGGTATGATCTACGTGGCAGTGGTCACAACAATCCTGAAGTGTGAAAGATCAAAAAAAATACCGGTTTCAATCAAACGTAATAAAAACATCGGCGCGGACTTGGAAAACTTGTTTGGTTTTTGCCAACTTGCATCACCTGTGGTGTTGAGGAGGTGTCCGTTGGTCAACCAAGAGGTGAATATACTGTGCAGTAGTACACTTCTAACTTATCGCTGTGAAACGTGGGTTTTGAAGGTTGAAGACATTTGTAGGTCACTAGTATTTGATCATAGGCGAGTTGGAAGGATTGCTCAGTTTTGTTGGAACTACTGAGTGAGCAATGTTAAAGTTAGACGTAGGATACAAGGCGAATATGGTTGATCGACTGAGTGTTGCGAATTTTTCTAATTACTGAATTCGATCTAGATGAAGGAAAGAAATACTCTCTAGTTTTATGAAGTTTCATCCAAACTCAAGCAGCGTACTTTAAATGTTCACCGAGACTGAATAGTATGCTTCATCTCTAATTTGAAGAGTGCCCACTCCAAAATAATGTTATATACATAAATTTCTAGGAGCTTATTTTGAGTAAATCGAGTTTTTATTGACCTCATGCTACCCTATATTTCGTTTAAACAGGTTGTCTTGAACTTGTTTCAGTGTATTCATTAGTTACTGTATTTCTAAGGATAGCGTAAATATAATCATGTATAATATCTGTACCGTTATTTGGTTCCTTTAGTGGGTTTTAGACACTTTAAAAAGATTTATCTCACATAAATGGGGCTGAGTGAAAAATGTGATAGTCAGTGTTTAGATGAAACACCTAATAAATAAATATACATCTAAGATATAACACTACGGAAATTTTAAAAAGACGTATGTCATCATTGTCTTGTTATAAGAATTCGGCAGATCTTACATATAGGAGTACATGTAAACGTTATTACAATCACACAGAAAAAAGAAAAAATCACAGGATTGATTAACATTGAAGGTAACCATAAGTAAAAATAAAAGGAGTGATTTGTTTAACTGTATAAAAATCCCCGATATATATATCTTACTTCAGTTACAGGTAATGAAGAAGAAGTATCCACCAATTTCTTGAACTCTTCATCAGTACTGGATGAGAAAGAATCTGAATCTTCTGAATCAGATATATTTGGTAATATCGAGTCTTCAGGAGACGTGGGTTTTTGTTTAAATGAACCGATAGAGGAATCATTTGTAGATGGTTGCATAACAGTCAAACTTTTTAGAAAATCATTTTGTGATGAGTGAAGAGGACGGAAATTAGACTAAAATAATAAACAAACGGTGAGATAAATCATTCAATGTGAATTTGAGTTTTAAAAAATAAAAAAAACAATGCCCATTACGAGGGCTTGGAGAAGTATGCTGACACTGAGAGTTGGTAGGACTCAAGATAGGCACAGTTTTATTCAGAATATACACAAGAAACCAGATGCATCTGAATTTCAGTAACTAATGCTATTCTCCCGGAAACTCAAACAAGAAAGTACGAGATTCCAGTGACTATTATTTTACCAAGAATTATAATTAACTCGCATTTGCCATTGAAAAGATTACGGACGTCACCAAGTCAAATGATGTCTCTCTTTATTCTTGAAGTTAGTGATTGTTAGGAAGAAATGGTTCTGTCTGTAGTTGCAACAGACGGTTGCCGTTATCTAATCGCTGGGCAGTGACACTAAAAAGTCATTTACATGTATTTCAGCTTGATTTACCATACGTACTCGAGCAGTAAAATCGCCTGCTAGAATTACTTTGCCTAAGATTTTAGCTTCTTGAGGGTTAAAAAGCTTTCTGTAAAACTCATATTTCTCTTCATCTGAACTGAAGTCAGTGAAGGCATAACGGACGACTAAGTGACATTAACTTATGCCCCTATCATTTCGAGTCCTTATTATTCTGTGTAATCGAACAATCCACAACTGAAAGCCTACCGAAATCCAGTATGGGAGATTTCATTCGGCCTTCGGACTTAATCCTATACTAGCACCACCGAGACTATAAAAAGGGAAAGTCAAGAACGACAGGTTCAAGAAGAGCTAATCTCCTTGACTCTTCAAGCTAAGTTCAGATGAATGGTCATACTTGGATTCTGAGTGAGATTTTCGGAGATAGTATATGACGCGAGATTCTTAACCAATGAAGCCTGTTGTTCGGTTTGACACAAGTAACATGTAGTTTGGAAAGAAGTTCTAGAAGGCCACTAATTTTTATAATGATCAAATTTCCACTAAAAGCAAGCCCTAGTAATAACTCTAAAACTAGGTTAAGTTTAAATTTACGCATGGTTACAGCCAGAAACAACTTGTTTCTCCGCATGCTATATCCTTACATATATGGGCGAAGAAAGTGTCCATCTAGACATGCTGAGCACATATTTTGATAACATTTGAGTCGATCCCACCTCCACCACTAAATCTTCAAATGCAACACAGAGAACAATCCAATCAAACTTGATGGATGAACTCTGGGAGACGTGGAAACTTTCACGTATCTGGGTAGCATCACCGATGGAAGTGGAGGATTGCGTAAAGGCGAGGATTGGCAAAGCAAGGACAGCATTCCTACATTTATGGAACTCAAAACAAATGTCAACCAATATCAAAGCATCGTCAATACGAAGTCAAACTGTACAGAGCTAAAACTTGGATGACTAACACAAACATCATCCAAAAGGTACAAGTATTTATAAACAATTGTCTAAACAAGATACCATCAGCAACAGCCTATTATGGGAGAGAACGAACCAGCTCCCAGCTGAGGAAATTAGGAAAAGATTATGGAGGTGGATAAGACACATATTGAGGAAATCATCAAATCAAAACTCGACGCAAGTCTCAACATGGAGTCCTGAATGGGAACGGAAGAAAGACCAAGAACATATTGAGCCCAGAATCGAAAGCAGAAATCAAAAGGGTGAATAGAAACTGGAAAGGATTGCCCAGGACAGAGTTGGATGGAGAATACTGGTGAGCGCCTATGCTCCTCCATTGGGGATAACAGGCATATGTAAGTAACTATCCTTCCAAAATTGATGGTCATACCCTTGAAACTGACCTATAAAACCTCTTCTTATGGTGGGACGAAAGCGATGCTTCAGATGCTGGTTGTGTGAGAGAAACATCTTAATACTGAGTGTTTTTCGAATTTGAAACTTGATAGTTAGAAATATCCAATATAAACCTGCAATCAATCATAGAGAAGTGCCCAAGAAAGGACCTCACCATTCTGATGGGAGATCTAAACACCAAAGTCGGAATAGACAACACCGGATATGAAGATATCATGGGACTGCATGGACTGGAAGAGAGGAACGAAAACTAGGAAAGATTTGTAAATCTGTGTGCATTCAACAAATTGGTCATAGGTGGCGCAATATTTCCACACAAACGTATACACAAAGCTACATGGATCTCACGGGACCACACCACAGAGAATCAGATAGATCATATTTGCATCAATAAAAAGTCCCGAAGGACAATGGAAGATGTGAGAATCAGGAAAGGAGCGGATATAGCTTCAGACCACCACCTAGTTGTGGCCAATTTAAAACTGAAGCTAAAGAAGAACTGGACAACTGGACAAACAGCACCACAAAAATTCAATACAGCCTTCCTTCGAGATACTGACAAACTCAATGAATTCAAGATAGATCTCAACAACAGGTTCCAAGCCATAGAGGATCTATTGAAGGAAGAAGAAACTACTATGGAGGATAGCTGGAAAGGTATCAAAGAAACGTTAACTTCAACGTGTCAAGAGGTTCTGGGCCCCAAGAAGCATCATCACAATGAATGGATCTATATAGAAACACTGGACAGGATCAAAGAAAGAAAGAACAAGAAGACAGCAATTAACAATAGTCGAACACGAGCAGAGAAAGTCCAAGCACAAACTGAATACATAGAAGCAAACAAGCAAATGAAGAAGAGCATTAGAGCCGACAAGCACAAATACGTGGAAGAACTAGCAACGACGGCGGAGAAAGCTGCAAGAGAAGGAAATATGAAACAGCTTTACGATACAACGAAGAAACTAGCAGGGAAATATAGTAAAGCAGAGAGACCAGTCAAAGACAAAGAAGGAAGACCGATCACTGAGATTCAGCAACAGCGAAACAGATGGGCAGAGTACTTCGAGGAACTCCTGAATAGGCCGGCGCCAATGGATCCACCGGACATCGAAGCAGCACACACAGATCATCCTATACATGTCAATCCACCAACGACCGAGGAAATCAGAATGGCCATCAGACAAATCAAGAGCGGGAAAGCAGCAAGACCCGAAAATATACCAGCTGAAGCACTGAAGTCAGACATCGAAGTAACTACAAACATGCTTCATCTTCTATTCAAGAAGATTTGGGAAGAGGAACAAGTGCCGATGAACTGGAAGGGCCCCCAAATGCCCTGGTACGGCCGAGAGTAGGAAGAGTCCGCTCTCCCTCTCCAAATGCTCTCACATGGACACGCGTATATAGCCTCTGCCAGGGAAGTCTTACTCACTGCCTTCTCGTGGCGGGGGTGTTGTTTACGAAAATGAGAGGACGAAAAGCGAATTTCCGGCGCTTTAACCGGATCCCGAACCAATGTTGCACATGGGCTGGATCCAGTATCCTGAAGGAACAAATGGCGTATGAACCAATCGTTGGTCACCGGCTACCATGGGACTGCATCTCCTTACGATGCTCCACTGCCTTGTCGGTCAGACGTTCAGGTCGAAGGCTCGGGGTGTGGCCCCCTAAGAAAACCACCTGCTTCGGTTTGGGCATCCGGGCAGTATCACAGCCCTCACACAAATCAATTGGGATTCGTGTGGCGCATATGTATTTGGTGCCTCCATGTACCAATACCTATGTGTTAAAATAAATAAATAATAAAGAACTGGAAGGAAGGACACCTCATCAAGATTCCAAAGAAAGGAGACCTGAGCAGGTGTGAAAATTACAGAGGCATTACACTACTGTCAGTACCAGGAAAAGTCTTTAACAGAGTGTTCTTAAACAGGATGAAAGACACAGTAGACGCTCAACTTCGAGATAAACAAGCTGGATTCCGTAAGGACCGGTCGTGCACAGATCGAATGGCGATACTACGGATCATCGTCGAACAATCAATCGAATGGAACTCGTCACTGTACATCAACTTCATTGATTATGAGAAGGCATTTGACAGTGTAGATAGGAGAACGTTATGGAAAATTCTTCGACACTACGGAGTTCCTGAGAAGATTTTCAATATTATCCGGAACTCATACGACGGACTACAGTGCAGAGTAGTGCATGGAGGACAGCTGACAGACTCATTCCAAGTAAGGACCGGAGTCAGACAAGGCTGTCTACTCTCTCCCTTCCTCTTTCTTCTGGTGGTCGACTGGATTATGAATACCTCGACATCTGAGGAGAAACACGGCATACAATGGACAGCTCAGAACCAATTAGACGGTCTGGACTTCCAGATGAACTAGCCCTCCTATCCAATACACACGAACAAATGCAGATAAAGACAGCCAGCATAGCAGCAGCCTCTGCATCAGTAGGCCTCAAAATACACAAGGGGAAAACCAAGGTCCTCAAACACAACACGGAGAACAGCAATCCAATCACACTTGATGGCGAAACTCTGGAAGATGTAGAATCCTTCACATACGTGGGAAGCATAGTCGACAAACGAGGAGGTTCAGATGCAGACGTAAAGGCTAGGGTTGGCAAAGCAAGGACAGCATTCCTTCAATTAAAGAACATATGGAACTCCGAACAGCTTTCAACCAATATCAAAGTCAGAATCTTCAATACCAACGTCGAGGCAGTTCTACTGTACAAAGCTGAAACTTGGAGAACTACAACAACCACCATCAAGAAGGTACAAGTATTTATCAATAGCTGTCTACGCAAGATACTCAACACCCATTGGCCGGATACCATCAGCAACAGCCTTTTGTGGGAGAGAAACAACCAGCTCTCAGCTGAAGAGGAAATTAGGAAAAGACGATGGAAATGGATAGGAAATACATTGAGGAAATCATCAAAATGCATTACGAGACAAGCGTTGACTTGGAATCCTGACGGGAAGAGTAAAAGAGGGAGGCCATTGAACACATTAAGTCGGGAAATAGAAGCGGATATGAAAGGGATGAATAAGAACTGGAAAGAGCTGGAAAGGATTGCCCAGGACAGGGTTGGATGGAGAATGCTGGTGAGCGGCCTATGCTTCTTCGCGAGGAGTAAGTTACATCCTTTATCTCTTCCCATTCTTATTATTATTGCGTGACGCATATGTACCTAGTGCCCCCCCTTTACCAATATTTATGTGTTCAAATAAATAAACTTTACATCCAAAGTTTTGATGTAAGCACAAACATTAATTTCAGATATGCATTTAACTACCAAACATATTTAGGCTCAAGTAAAATTCCCAAGATTTTAGTGAGCGTTAAAAGCGACGATAGCAAAAATGTTGATTATAGTCCAGCAACATAAAACTATACAAATAAAGAATAAAATAGGGGGGAAATGATTGTTGTAAACTAACCAATGGTTGGTCGTCTTCATCAAGAGTATTATTTGGACTATTCTCTGTGAGACTATTAAAGATATCATCACAATCAGCATCATCATCATCCAACGAGGAATCATCTGATTTGTAGTTAGTTATTAGAGGCATGCATTTTTTACTAGCCATAGATAATATTAACCCTGGAGTTTGATACAAAAAAACACCGAGTACTCCTGTGTTTACCTGTAACCTTTAGAACTGACAAGTAAAAAGATAAAGAACTTATGAAATTCAAAGAATATCAATTCGTTTAAGTATATGGATGTGAAAACGAATTAATGTTGAGTTTCTAAATAACTAGAGGCTATGGCAACTTCAATTTATATCAAAGTAAAAAGGGTGAAATGTAGAATCTGACACAAAACTGCATGACCGAAAATTAATATATCCAACCCAATAGAGGTAAAACCGAAAAAAGGTAACAAAAAACAGACCGGAAAGGAAATAAACAAACATAATAAACATGACTAACCACTTTTAAAAGTAGAAAACGAAGTGAACTTGAAGTATCAACTGCCCTTTAATTTTAATAGATATCAACTTTCCAACATATACAAGGCGACAGAACAAATAATTTAACTAATTTGATTTCGGGTTTAAACACTAACCAATAAAATGTTTAAAGTCAAGTATAAAATAAGTCAGTCAGTTATAAGCAATGTTGAAGCTGGCATATGCCGGTACCGATTTAGGTTGTCACACCATGTAAGCGCAAAGAATATTTGTCAAGACAAATACTAAAACGGTAACATAGTAACAGTAATAGTAATAATTAAAAAGGATCAGACGAAGATGTGGCTCGAGAAAATTCCAACTCGTGGAGTAATGAAAAGAAGTTCCAAATAGTTTAAGGAATCAGGAAGTACAAAAGGAAAAGGTAAGTGGACCTGCACCATTTAGATCAAGTTTGAGGCACGCCACCTAGTTTTCAACAACTGGTTACGATAGTCGAGTGAGCCCTAACGAGCTAGTCTGCATGTACCAACATTATTATTATTACTTATTATTATGTACCAACATGGCTATCATTCAATAGATTAATGAAATGCCATGTTTTAGTTTCGCCCCTCTAGTTTTCTTTCAGATAACTCCAACAAACATTGCATATTGACAAAGTGGATGTCCAGTTATAAGTGGAAATACTATAAGAAAACCGATGAAATTGATGAACAATAACATTATTGGTCATCAGATATTAATCCAACTGACAGGTTGTAACTAATTATCATATGCGAGCAAAAGATCAGTGATGATGGCTTATACATACGATGTCTGCTAAAAATCGCAAGGAATATACAGGGTACAGTCAAAACACCTTAATAAATTGTGCATATTCCCGTGGTTTTATCCGACCATCAACGTCCACTGCTTCCTATGCTGGTTGTCAAGTTGCTTTACCTATTTCGAACCGATGAAGATAAATAAGCGAGGTGAGAAATATGAAGAAATTTTATTCGGTTTGCCAACTTTGAAATAGTTTAAACTATTTCAAGACTTATTAATTGAGATTAATTGATCGTAATTGATGAGTCTTCGCCAAAGAAAACTGTCACGCACATACTGCAAGCGAACTAGGCTTTTAAGCAGACTGAACTCTGAACAGACTTGGAGTTACTCAACGAAGTGCCTAACCATTCGTCCTCATCCCTAACCCGGGTTAGGGCCCTACATTGACACAACACTAACTCCTGACCTTAACTCCCAACACTATTTCTTAATTAAACCTATCTGTACTATCTTACATTTGTAACATAAAATGGTATTGGAATGGCCCTTTTTCTGATAAGTAAGTTATAACATTCTAGTCAACAACAAAAAAACACGAACGACAGTCAACACGCCAAACCGGAATACGCGCCATGACCTAGAAATCGTAATTTGTTACCTGTTTATCTCATACTTGTGCTTTGATCTATACCTAAATGTAGTTATGGATACCAAAACGTTAAACACTCCAAATGGAGTCACGCACTGTTGAGTTCTATTACATGACTAGAGTTAATGCATCCTATTGAAATGCGAATAGGTTCTCAGCTTGAGATTTCGACCAGCTGTAACTACACTGCTACGAATGAATAACTTTTGTTTTCCCCCAGTGATCAAACTGTTATCCTTGTTTGAATTCCCAGATCTTTAGGACGTCCTGTAGTGTAGTTACTCGGTTACCTGAAGGCAAGGAGAATTCAGAATGGAATAAAGAACAAATTATGCACCACCTGTGAAAAGACTAAGAATTCTTCGCAGATATATCCAGACTAGCCACGAGTGATGTATTTATGAAGACATTGTTACCGAAAAATTCGTAATTTAACGAGTTTATCCGACTTCTTATTGGGTATAACATCTGCGTTCTTTAGAACGTATTCGTTGGTATTAGAATTAATGATCGAAATTGGGGAAGACTTACCTCGTTCTTGGAATGGTTTTTCGTCATCATCTTTGTTATGTGTGCTTAAATCACTGCTATCTAAAATTCGAACCATAGACTTTCCGACATTCCGCACCACAGTCCCCGCTTCTGCTTGATAATTGTTTCCACGAAAATACGTTACTTCTGCAGACGCTACATATCTAATGATAAAAGGAGAATCTTTTCAGAAAAAAAGACTTACGGCTGCTCTTTCGTCACAGAATGTTAAGGATTTGTATGTTGCAGAAGAAATGTATCTACTTTAGTCCCCGATTCATCAAATTTTGTAACAGCAATGGAATCAATTGCATTTATTAACGTCCTGATGAAATTCTCCTCACAGTCATTAGGACGAGGGTATCTGAGAACACCTCCGTAACAAAGTGAGAACAATTATCAGTCCTTAATACCATAAAGATTTCCTTCCCACTAGAATTTTCCGGTAATCCCTAATGCTGGAAATTCAGTAGGTTAGATTGTGTTAAATTATTCCAGGGTCTAGAAAATTTTCAGGTGGGGTAATTCATATAGAGAGATGATTTAGAATGGGTATGTTTCACTAATGGCAAGGAGTTATGGATGTCGTAATGAGAAGTTACTGCATATTAAACAACTTGATCGGATGGAAAAGGTAGTTTATCCAGTATTTTGAAGAAAAAGATTTAGTTTGAGTCTTCTCTTCCATAAAAGGTAGAGTCCAACTTTGTTAAATCTACAATTATTAGTCAAGAATACGAAGTGTAAATCGTCTCTGAAATGATTCTAGCCTTAATTTATCCTTTATGTGCGCACTTCCAAGAATAAACGTGCAGTGTTCTACAAGCGGTCGAACACAAACTTCGTACATAAAAATGCGTGACTCATTGTTATAAAGGTTTCGAGTTATGTCGCCCATAAGGCATTAAGACTTGGAAGTCTGTTTCAATACCTGTTCTGTAAACGAGTCGTATGATTACCTAAGTCCTAAGTCTGCTACTGTGTGTAACCTAGATGACACTTCTGCATTGATGGTAATATCTAAGCATATCCACAATTATCTGTATAAAGCTCCAGCTGATACTTTAAACTCTGCTTCCTACCTTAATGAGCCCCATCGTGATGCAATTTCGCATATTGTCCAACTCATGTAGAGAGTGAGAATACTCTACTTTAAGATCATCTGCATACAGAAGTTACTTACTCACACAAAATCATTGATAAACACTAAATATAGCAAAGGACTTAAGACACTACCCTGCATTATACTACCACTAACAGGGACAACGTTCGACAATGAAGAGTTAATCTCAATTATTTGATGTCGGTTGCTAAAAAGGAATCAACCCAAGCAAGCAAAAGGTTTTAGACCCCATAAGATGCGAGTTTACCTATAATAATTTGGCGGTTAACCATTTCAAAGGCTTTAGAAATGCCCAGGTATAGCACTAAGATTAGATATCCTTAGCTATGTGGAGAACAGATTAAATTAAATTTGTCCAAGTGACATATCGTACAATATCAATTTTCAAGAAATCTATGTTAAGTATCACTGGAAAATTTTCCAGCGGGTAAATAATTGTAGGGTTCGTCATTATTAATTTTTTCCATAGTGCTAGAGATAACTGAAGTAACATTTATCTCCAGATTTGTAATCTGGTACGATGTACGCGGTTTTACTTCAGTAAAAGGAAGAACCTGATTCCATAGAGCGAGTAAACAGCTTTAAAAGTTGAATATCTGAACCACCATACTCGTAGCGAAAAGATGACATCCCGTCTGCTCCATGACCTCTCGAAAGCTTAAGGGTATTTATAGCCTTACTAATCTTCAAGCATGTGAAGGATAGAGGTTTAATTAAATTACTACTTACGCAACTAACTTTTGAAACAGCGCCATTTGTTAATTCTTTCACATTTACAAAAATACCACTGAAAGGGTGTGTTATAGTTTTATAGTCGTATATAAATGTGCCGTTATGCAGGATGCATAGTATATCAACATTTGAGTAACTTTAACGCGTTTATTGAAAAGGAGAATTAAGTCTTGTACTTTTGAGCTAGTATTAAGTGCTAATAAGTCCTCATTAATGGCTTTTAACCCGTGCGTTTCTTTATTTTGGTTAAAAATCATTGTTATTCGTGAAAATGCCGTGAAGTCGTTTTACCTATAATAACATGTCTGTCGGCGTATTAGCTTGTTACGATATTTAGCTTGCATATAATTCATAAGGTTTACTAAATATGTACGTTTTAAATGGTGCACTGGAATCTAGACAAGAGTTAACGATCGGATAGAACTCGTCGATGTCATCTATGGGAAAAAGCTAAGCCAGTCTGAGAGTTTATTCAATGAGCGTATAAAATCCCAGTCAGCCTGTTCATAGTATCTATACTGACAGGTTTACGAATGGGTCGTTTATAGGAGAGATAGATAGGGAGAGCACAAACTACTATCTTATGGTCACTGCTTTAGAATTTATTGCATACTTTTGCAGATAGTGGGATGACATTTCTACTAAATATCAGGTCAAGTATACTATCACCTCTGGTTGGGGAACGAACCCTCTATGACCAGCAGTGCATGTTAACGATTGCTGACAACTACCGGTAATCCAGTTAATCCCAGGATAGTTGAAAACTCAAGTGATAATCTTAGCATTGAAGTTTAGATTAGATGCATGTATAAATGCATTGATTATAAGATCATTCACATTATCCGAGCTATCGGAAGCTCTGTACATAGACCCTAGAAGTAGACTATAATTCAGGTATTTGATTGATATCCCAACTGATTCTGGTAAACTATTCAGGACACTGTCTTCAACTTTACTAGTTGTTAGGGTCTCCAAAGCCTACATAAGACAACTACGTACTCGCCTAGTTTCTCTATCACAGCGATAGAGTCGATAGTTCCGGATATTTAATTCTGAATCATATACTGCTTGAGAGAACTATGTTTTAGTGACAAGTATGAAAGAAGGCTTGGTTAGAAAAGCTACCGTTCTCAAGGCTGAAATTTTGTTCAGAAGTGAACGTGTATTGATAAGCAATAAGTTTAAAAAAAGAGTATGGAGTGTAAAAAAACCGAGAGCTTCCCCAATGATGTTATGTATTATAATTACTTGGACTATAGTTGAATATGTTTGACTGATAGTATGGGATATGGCTTGAACAAACTGTAGTGGTAGTGGGAGCTGGGATTTCTGAAGGCCAAAAAGTTCATTGTTTTGATAAGGTGGATTAGTTTGTTGAAATTGACTTGGTGGACAGTTGCCCATCAGGAAATTGATGAGAAAAATTACATCTTACAGGTTTAATATGTAAAGCGTTCGGGGGTAACTACGGGGCACGTTGGTTCACTGCGATCTGTCTAATTTTAGGCCTGCTTACAAAATGGTTATATTGGCCGTCTGTTGTGACGCTTGAACTAAATGTGCCATTATAAGCTTCCCTACGATGAGTAGGGTAAAGCTTGGTGTCAAGAAGTATATTTTTGTTTAGTAGGGTAGCGTTTTATTTCTGGCCAGCATTTTTTAGCGAGTTACTTTTCTGAGGGATGGGGTTGCTTGCTCCATGCCCAACCCTTCTTCTTTATCCGGGCTTGGGATTGGCAGCAGCCACAGGGGTCTCTAGGCGAAGATTTTGTTTGGTAGGGCCACCGTAATATTTTTGAATTAGCTCTGGAACCAAAAGGTCCTGTATGTCCTTTTTTCTTACATGGTATAGACTTTTATTCCATATTTGTTCATGGGCTTCTAATGTTACACTAGAAAATATCGGATTAGTGTCTCTATTAGTTATACATTGGTTATCAGAGATCACTACAGACAGAAGAGACAAATTAGCACTCTTCACTGGTAAATCAGAGTATTGTCTAACATGAGATAGGTTAGCTGCATCAGTGGGTCCAGCAGATCTGGCAACGGGATTTATGATAGTCTCAACATCATTACTTTCTTTTAAGAGCTCGCAAGTGACTCCACTTCAGAACCATTAGTGCTAAATTGTTTATAGATGGTGTCTAATTCACTCTTAATATTGTCGATACTTTTTTAACTTAAGATAGAACTAATTATTAAATTAGAGACCGAGTCATCCAGCAGCAGGTGTGGTGTAAGTCTACTCCCAGCATTATCTAATCCAAACGGAGTTGCAGAGCATGGGGTATAGGTAATAAAAGAATTGTTATTATCTGAAGAATTAAAGCTTTTCCAGGCTCTTTTCTGTCAGTCGACCCATTTTGCTTTAAGCGTTAATTCCAATGCTATTTATGAGTTATACACTAGGATTCAATGATAATTAAATTTATATTAGATACCGTGTTATCGTAGTGCAAAGTTCAAACAATCCGCAAATCAATGCAAACAACGCAAACAAGAGGAAAGTCGCATAAGGGCCGACAAATAGAAGTACGTGGAAGACTTAGTTATGACAGTGGAAAAAGAATTATTGGACAATTGCATGATTCACCGAAGAA